GAAGAGAAGAGCAAGAGAAGAGAAGAAGAGAAGAGGAGAAGAGAAGAGAAGAGAAGAAGAAGAAGAGATCAGCAATCCATTACATTTAAAACACGCAAGTTTACGAATGCGGTTTTATATGGTCCTATTTCTCCCACGGTTCAGGTATACCATAACAAATTACACAATGTCCTGTTGGGGACACTCGCGAACAACCTAAAAATGAGAGGCGGGGAGGAGAGGGGAGGGGAGGGGAGGGGAGGGAGGGAGGGGAGGGAGGGAGGAGAGGAGAGGAGAGGAGGAGAGGAGGAGAGGAGAGGAGAGGAGAGGAGGAGAGGAGAGGAGAGGAGAGGAGAGGTAGGAGAGGAGAGGAGAGGAGAGGAGAGGGAGGGAGGGAGGGAGGAGGAGGGAGGAGGGAGGGAGGGAGGGAGGGAGGGGAGGGGAGGGAGGGAGGGGGAGGGGAGGGGAGGGAGGGGAGGGGAGGGAGGAGAGGGGAGAGAATGGAGTGAAGGGAAGGGAAGGGAAGGGAAGGGAACGGAAGAGAAGGGGAGGTGAATACGAGAAGGAATGAAGAAGGAGAGGGAAGGGGAGATGGGTAAGGAAGAGGGGAGGTGAGGCAGACAGGGGAAAAGGGAAGGGCAGAGGAGTAGAGGGGTGGAGAGGGTACGGGAGGAGGGAAGGCCAGGGAAGAGGGAGGGGGAACCAGAGAAGGGAGTAAAGGAAAGGAGAAGTGAAGAGGGGAGAGGAGGAGAGAACAGAAGAAGAGAGGGGAGGGAAGAAGGGGGAGATGGGCGGGGTCCTAGCGCTGCGGTGAGGTCTCGGGCGTGGGTGTCCGCCCTCCACGCCCGACGTCACCAGCTTATCACCTTCTCCCGATCATTTCCCCGTCGGTGTCTGCGCCCGCCGTCGGTCACGATGGCGTCGCCGTCTTCCGTGCGCGTCAATCAAACACTTCCCTCCCTCTTTGATGAAATAAAATGAAAGAAAGAGATAAAAGAAAGAAAGAAAGAAAAAAAGAAAAAAAGAAAAACGACAAGAACAAATAAATAAATGAATCATGAAAGCACAGACTGCCTCCCATACCCCTCCCCCCCTTCCTCCTCTTCGTCATACCAATCCACTTAACCCAAATCTACACAACAACAAAAAAACGGAACGGAAAAGCACTGTTAACGGGTTCGCCCCAAAGAGAAACTATTTCGCTCATCACAAACACCTCTCTTTCTCTCTCTCTCTCTCTCTTTCCCTCTCTCTCCCTTTAATGAAGCTGTTCCGTATTACGTGACAACAATTGCATCGTTTACGGATTCTGCTGACGTCATCACGCGAAGATCTTGTGCGAAATCTGGGCCGCGGTGTTGGTCTCCTTACATCCATCATTACTATTCTTTATTCACTTTTTTCTCATCTATTCATATTCATATCAACACGAACGCGCATCATTTTACCGGGTGGACTTGTGTGCGCGGAAGTCGCCCTCGTCATATTTTTGAGATTAATTTCGACAGGCAGGCAATGTCAGTTAACAAATCATGAATATACACTACTTCTGGCTGGTGAAAGTCTCTCGGGGAACACTGTCTGGGGACGTTAATTAATGACAAGTATCTCGTAAAAAAACAATAGCAGTGGTAGCAATGACCGTATTAAACTTTAAATATTAGTATTGGATAAAAATAAGAACACCAACGACGTATAAAGCAATGATCATTATCAAAGTAGTAATCATAATAATGATGGTAATGGTGATAATGATAACAATAGTAACAGTAACGATAGATAATGATAATAATAATAATAATTATTATTATTATCATCATTATTATAATAACAATAATAATAATAATAACAACAATAATAATAACAATTATAATATAATAATAATATAATATAACAATAATAACAACAATAATAATAATATTTTTAACATAAATCGTGTTTTCATCATTATTATTAACATTTCGATAATAATGATAATAACAATAACAAAAACAACAATGATAACAACATAAAAAACAATAACAATAATGATGATAATAACAACGATAACAAATAAAATAAATAATAACAATAATGATGATGATATGATGGTGACGATGACGGAAATGATGATGGTGGTACTGATGATGATGATGATGATGATGATGATGATGATGATGATGATGACGACGATGATGACTATGATGATAATGATAACGATGTCTCAACAACAGACACAAATTAGTTTTATATGAGCGATTTTCCCCAAACGATTCTGTTAGTTTCCTTTATTCCGGTTATCAAAACAAAACAAAGAAAGAGATGCACAAAAAAGGACAACAAATAATCAAACGGAACTTACCTGTCGTCATCTTTAGTAGGCTCCGCCTCCTCTGAATGTCTGGCGTCCTCATTGGCGGAGATGGACGATTGTGATGACGTCACCGAAGTCCGAGTTACAGTCTGTTGAAGAAAACGGGAAGAATTAGGAGTTACGTTCTCTTTAAAATGAGAGGGTAGACTATATGAAAAATCACAACCGTAATTTATCATGGCAATTCACGTATAACCACTGGACAGGACATGACGCAAAATGCAAACAAACATAAAATAACATTTAACATCCACAGCAATCGTACACATGTAAAACAAGCCACAAACGGAACAAAACATAAACAGCATGCGTCGCAGCCTTCAAAAACTCGAGGCTGCTCTCTCATTCTGCTTCACAGGCCGTCTGCCAACACCCGAGCGGCAGTGCCAACCTCGGCACAGCAGAATATGTCTCGTCATTTTTTAACGTCGTGTCCTTAAGAGATTGTCAAGGTGAAGTGTGATAATAACTTCAACGCTAATTTCTCCTTTGATTTCCTCTTTACTAATAAACCAAGTGATTATTTTAGTACGCATTTTGTTAATTAAATTTATGTTCCTGTTTTCATTCACTACGCACACACCACGCACGCACGCACGCACGCACGCACGCACGCACGCACGCACACGCACGCACACACACACACACACACACACACACACACAACACACACACACACACACACACACACACACACACACACAACACACACACACACACACACTCATGCACATATGTATATAAATATACATAATATATATATATATATATATATACATATATAATATATATACATATATTGTATATCTGTTTATCTATCTATACATGTATATATATGTATATATACTGCTTACATTACATAATAATTGTTAAGCGCCCCAATGTATGCTACATACGCAAACATACGTGCTAAGCTGAATCGTATACCAACAAACACATTCGGGTCTTTCAGAGAGATCTAAACGACTGCCGCCGTCCCCTTCTGCCGCCGCCGCCCCCGGCAGCCCGGGGAGGACATGGCACGTAACAAATGTATGTATCTTGGGGTCGTTCGTCAACCCTAACGCCCCAACCTGCTGCACCGACGGCTATACTATCTCAGGGGACATCGTCGAGCCTCATGCCCCAAAATACCGCTTTACTACGCAGCGCCCATGCCCTCACGCCGCACTACACTATTAGACGGCCGTGGCCAAGATAGACCTCCGAGTCAGGACGAGAATAAAGCAGCCGATCTGATATAGACGCAGGCACTTCACTCCATTCTATTTATATGGTCAGTCTGTTTCTTGTTATTTTATGTTAACCTTAATCCAGGGAATACGGGAAACACGGCGCCCATGGAGCACGGCAAAATGGGTCTATTTTTGCGCTGAGAATCAGAATCACCGAATTAGAGGGTGATCTGGAGAGCGAGGGAGGCAAAAAGAGGCGCATCACTGCCGTCGCTGTTATGAATCTCCGCCAAAAGGGAATGCAACCGGGCTGCGCTGTTTATGATCTGGTTTATGGCGGTGCAAGCCAAGCGGTTAAAATAACGATTACGCAACCGATTGCCTTCGCTTCTCTTATCTTTTCTTTAACCTCATTTTTCCGATTAGGACAATCCAGCTGGTAATACATGTCTGCTTACAATACGTTGCGTTTTTGTTTGTGCATACATAAACAAGCGCGCGCGCGCGTTTATGTATGTATGTTTATATGTTTGTATGCCCACATACACGCGCACGTTTATAAACACATTGTACATTCACGTACATGTGTTCGGTCATGTTCGCGTGCGTCTGAGCGTGCCTTCTCGAGAGCATGCAATCAAGTCGGTGCATCTGTGAACCGGATAAGGGCAAATATAAGAAAAAATATTTTATAGCACAATTAACCGTGATGAGTCAACAAATTCAGGAGCATGGAAATTAGACCGCTGCCCACTTCCCAACTTGTGGCACATTTCCCCCGCGATGCGATAAACCGGCAATAGCTAATCACGGCAGATGTTGCCATGTCTTTAATTTGCAAAACTGCCAACATGACAAGACCGAAATAATATAACACACGCCAAACCAAGCTTGAAATCACCAATATCCTTTTTCTACTAAAAATCATACTTTTTTAAGATATTAAAAATACAACCACATGGCAATACACACAGCCACAATGATTGTGCACCGATAACTGGATTCACGCGTTATCTTTTATCATGCCAACAATGAGCTATGAATTAGATGGACGTTTATCTCAAAAACAACAAAGTTTTCCAAAGCTCGTAAAAAAATCTCACCACCAAAACTGAGACCATTTCCATTCAACTCAATACTATCTTTTTTATCGCCCTTCAACACATCTCTAAGTTATAGTTATAATTTCTAAATCTCCCAAACAATCAAACCACACACCGATCGGCATCCAATCTCCGAGAACCGATCAGCAACGCGTGGTTACCACACTGAAGCAACAGCCTTTTTACCCGAAAGCATTGTTCGCGCCCGGGGTCTTACACGTGCCTGCGAATCGCTCCGGACTTTCTTCTATTTTTACATGAGACTTCCGACTGCCGGTTAGTTAGCGCTCCAAGGTCCGTGGAAAGTGAGAGCCTTCAAACAGTAATGTGAAGTTAGCATATAAGAATGCCATGAGGCGTGTGCAAGTTCGCTGTATGCATAAATATAAGCACATCCATTTAAGTATATCTTAGTAGTTAACATACATATGTTAACCACTGATAGCTTTCTTTTTGTATATTACATTGCAGCAAAAAACACATTCCGTGTCTGTTAGTACCAAAGCATCAGCACTTTGTTGTTAAACGCTTTATTTACATCAGCAAAACAACATCAATTTTAAATGCTTTCATTACAAATGCCATAAAGCTGCACATTAGCGCAAAAGCTCATACCTTAATCTGCAGCGCTACTTTCTTCCCGTACAAGCGAGCTTTATAGAAACGAATCAGTATGGTATTTATCGGGATGAAAATAAATGAGGCGTGTATACAAATAAACAAATCAGACATTTATCAGGACAGACAGCCAGCCATACGTTCGATACAAGTTTCCCCACGTTATGCAAAAAAAAAAACTTGCTATCTTTTACTTCTTCCTTTCTCGTGCAGAAAAGTCATAGCAAATAAATAAAAAGCACACACACTGCGTTCCCTGCGGAGAGAGAGATAGAGAGAGGGAGAGCTGAAAGTCTGAAATCCATAACAACAAAAGGGCATAACACCGAGGGAGGGAAACGTTCACAGCATTCAGACCAAGACATCGCCATCGCCGTCAGGAGCTCGTCGCCACGCCGCCCTCTCGCCGCCTCATTGCTTGCACCTTTTCCTGCAACCCCCTTCGCCACCGCCTTCGCCAACGCCTTCGACACTACCACTGCTGCTTCTATTGCTGCCTTGGCTGCTGACGGAGACGCTGCTGGCGATGCTGGAGCTGCGGTCGCGACCCTTTTTGCGGGGCGGCACCACCGGCTTACGTGGGGAACAAAGGAGGATGAGGGGCGCGGGGCTTGGCTAACGATTAGGGGATATGCTCGACAAATTAATGCTCGTATATCATGAAACTAAAACTAAAACTTCAAAAAATAACCGTACATAAATCTCAAACTAATAAAAATAATCAGGATATGAAACAAAAAAGGGAAAACTAAAAATACGATAAAAAAAAAATCATCAGTCAAGAAAGAACAAAGATTGAAGGAAGGAATCTGAGGAGTGGGGTGAGAGTGAGGGTGGGGGTGGAAGAGAGAGTGAGAGTGAGAGTGAGAGTGAGAGTGAGTGAGAGTGAGAGTGAGAGTGAGAGTGAGAGTGAGAGTGAGAGTGAGAGTGAGAGTGAGAGTGAGAGTGAGAGAGTGAGGTGAGGGGTAGGAGTAGGGTAGGGGTAGGGGTGGGAGTGAGGGTAAGGGTGGGGGTGTGAGCGGGGGTCAAGACAAGCCTGCGCCATTTCGAGCCTTCTAAGCCAAGCAAGGTCTGCTGTGCGGGTATGCAGCGCGACGGGAATGTCGGAAGGGAGAAGCTAAAAGGCACGAGAATAAAGAGGGGACAGAACAGAAAAGGGAGAGAGGAGGCGGGGGTGGGTCGCACGCTCCCCATTCTGGCTATTTCTAACCTCCACCTGTCGGTACCTGACAGCCGGAAATGTTCCCTTGTGAGCTCACGTTTTGCTAAAAATGCTTGATAACATCAACTATGACCGCATCTGCGCCTGATCATTCATCTCGCGTCAGTTTACTAATCTAGGCATAAAGCGTTAAAGCATCTCTTCAACACCTGAATAACCAAGGTTAGAAGAGAAATCGATAATAAATAAAGATTTTTTTTTCTAAAACTCACAGGTACGCTTACTCAAGATGAGACAATAAAATGAAGACAGGTTTAACTAAGCAAACCGCATGGATATATAACAGACACGCTCGAGATCCAGGCCTTCAAAATGAGTCACATCAGCATAAACGAGTGAAATCTACAAATATTCTCAAGAACTAATAAACAAACACGAGTCATCGACCAGCAGGTGAGGTAATCGCAATAAAGGGGAGCTCATCAAAGCACGGAGAAAGGTTACCCCGCGTGCAAAGATTTACCGTTCCGACGATCGCCATTTGGACGCTAGGAAACATAACATTAGCCTGACCATGGGACTGCGACAACAGCACCGCAGCCGCAGCACCATGGCCGCGACTCGGCGATTCCTGGGCAACTTCCAAAACCTACAGCTTTTTAGTTTGCAGGAACGGAATTCCCCTCGACTGCCTAGGGATTCAATGCCGCTTTATGCCAAGTACTTCAGGTGAGGGGAATATCAACTGTGAGAGGAGGAAGAGACAGTTAAAAAAGTCAGAAACAAAAAATATAGTTATATGTGTGTTTGGGAAAACTGGGAACCTAAATCGGGTTTATGAATCGGTCGGGAGAGCCGCTGTTTGGCCGCACTGATTCTAGTGATTAACCACATGCTCGGGATTCTACAGTCCTCAGAGACAGAATTTACGGGGCGGATGTGAAGCTACAACGGCACTAAGGGGGTTACCTGAGAATCTTCTCGCGCCTGCAGCTTCTTGGTGGAGGGCGAGCGGCTGAGCTTGCGAAGTTTCTGGTCGAGTACGTCCTCGTATTCCCTCGCTTTGAGGCTCATGCGCTCGAGGTTTACCTTGGCAGTCTCAGCCGCAGCCTTCTTCCACCTCGTCACCTTGATCTTCGTCCACTTATGCATCAATAGTACTTTCTGCTGCGCATTCTTTAAGTGCACTCCTAGGTGCTGCTGCGCTCTCTGCCCAAGCCAAGCCTTTGTGTCTTTGTAAGCCAAGCTCAGCTGCAACTGGCACCGGTGAAGGGCCAGGTTGACCTTCAACTGACACTGGATGTAAACCAGATTAACTCTGTTGAAGAACTGTTGACAGGTTTCGGACGTGCGGCTCTGGACGACGCTGTAGGTGCCCCCTGCCATCTCCTGCATGTCCTCGTAGACCACACTGGCTCGCCGCCGGGCATCCTGGTAAGCCCCCGCGGCGCGGGACTGGATTCCCGAGTACATCTCCTGGAGGCTGAGCTTCGTCTGATACCACATGATGTTTCCCAGGTGGAGCATCGACGTCTCGACGGCACTCATGAGCAGCAGCACCGGGCGAATGTACGTCTGTAAACCTGCCATATTGCTTCCAGCAACACCACAATTATTTCCACTAAAAGTCTTATTTTCTGTAAAACAAATCGACCGCGTCCCCTTCCTTATTGTGTCTCGTGCTTCATAATATCCAGTACCTATATTGCACAACAATTATTTGGACCATATCCATCACTCAAAGAAATAGACGAATATATCGTAGAATACAGAGAGCGTGCAAGCCACGTAGATGAGGAACACGGTGAGGAAGAGTGCAGTCCAGGACTCCATACTACACAGCTCCCCTACTGCTCACTATCCGGGCTAGCGATGGGGCTTCGATATCGACTTGATAAGGCTTCCTCTCACTGTAGACACAGATGAGCGCCGCCGTAATGGGATGGAGCACGAAATATATCCAATTGCACCAGGGTAACTGCCAGTATCGAAGATCCTCAGGCTTACGCAATGCTATCTATGCTGGAGTGTACTTCATTGGAAGGCCATCCTGTTGTTGGGCGAGGCGTTGGGGGGCTTGCTCGCTTCTTCTTCCACGGAAGCTTTAGACATGGGATGTAAAGTAAGAACAAGTGAGATAAAAATATAGCTTCTGATGAACCGGAATGTTTTGAATACAACTATGCATGAAGTTGTTCTCTGAGAAAAGAAGGACGGGCTGAGCCAGAGGAGGTACCGTCGAAGGATATTTCTGGGTACTTGAAGGCACTTGACTCCTTAATTTCTAACTTTTGCACGAAAGTTAAACTTCCTGCACCTTCTGCCAGCAGAAAAGCGCAACAAGAACACTAGTCACTAGTTCGATGGAGAGCCCGAGCCGTCTCCCCGCGTCAGAAAGGTCCCCCGTGCACTAGGACAACGCGCCACAGCGCCTCACTTACTCACACCTCACCTCACCACCATACCCCGGCGCCAACTCCTCGGCCTGCCTCACCCCGGGACACGACTGCCAGCTGGTGCCACTCCCACCGCCACCACCGACAGCCTGGCCTCACTCGCGCCCAGGGACAACACTTGTACACAAAGGTAAAATGTAAACATCTGCTCGGTGTGGTCTCGAAGAGGAGCTGTCACCACCCTTAAAAAAGGTGTCCGATTGCCTCATATCTGATATGCTTGTTAAGATAAAGAGTGTGCGACAGACACTGTGCGAAAACAAGCAAACGCACCTAATACTTTGCTTCCTTTTCTGTGGAAAATTCTTGAGTTGTCATTAGGGATGTCGAACCCCGCCCACGATGGGTGACGAACGAGAGGAAAAATACGAGGGGAAAAGAGGGTACCTGAAGAGGAAAATACCGGCAGTGCACCGGTATGGGACGCTGGCATGCTGGTCTTACTATTACCAACAGATACAGTCATTCATATCATTACGAACTAAACAGTTATACACGATGTTACCGTTCATGTACTTTCTACAGAAGTGTGAAAAAGTTCACGTTCAGAGAAGTCATTCACTGATAGATATTGATAGAAAGTGGGCGGGAGAGAGAAGTAAGGAGAAGAGTAGGTAGGATGGGGGCAAGTAGGAGGGAGGGAGGGAGGGAGAGAGGGAGGGAGGGAGGGAGGGAGGGAGGGAGGGAGGGAGGGAGGGGAGAGAGAGAGAGAGAGAGAGAGAGAGAGAGAGAGAGAGAGAGAGAGAGAGAGAGAGAGAGAGAGAGAGAGAGAGAGAGAGAGAGAGAGAGAGAGAGAGAGGGAGTGGGGAGTGGATAAATAGAGAATAGTGTGTGTGTGTGTGTGTATGTGTATGTGTGTGCGTGCGGTGCGCTCCCGTACACCAAAACCATAAAGTCAAATATTTTTCTCTAGATGCCTGACATAATCGCAGCCCATACTTCAAATCAAACGCGACCGCCTATATTTAGCCGGCCACCTGGGTGCACCTTGCTCGACCGCGGTGACACGGACTAAAAGGAGAGCCTCCACGCAACTCTCTCTTATGCCGTGTTTACGGTCGCCCCCCCCGAGGCCCCCCCCCCCGTCGCTGTCGCCGCCTCGCCCGCCCCGCTTGCATCCGAGCCCCGCCGCCGACAGGGCCCGTTCGCATGCT